TGACTGACCGACCGGTACCGTTTCTGTTTCGGCCTCTCGGCCTCTACCGGACCCGGCTATAGGTTATAGGACCGTCTATCAGTATAGGCCAGTTAAGGCCTGTCTGTCCTAGGGCTAGCCCGGGCCTGCTATTCGCAGCTACGGTAGTAGTAGGAAATTTCGTTAGTGTTAGGGCTGTATTTTCCCAAATTGCAGATATGTCCCTCACAAATTTCCTCACAGGTAGGTCTCTCGGTTAGCCCTCAGCCAAACAAAATTACGGATCTAACCCTACCGGTTAGTGTACAGCCTCACAGTCAATCTCGGCAGTCAGAATCAGCAAGTCATTGCACCTCCCTGTCCATTGACCACCTGTTCTTCCAGTTCAGCCACAGGATTAGCCTATTAGGGGGATAACTACCTTACTAATGTTTACCTGAAAGAGAGATCCTTCTGATTGCAGCGTTGGGTCCAATAAAATTGCTTCTTGGGACCATCTTAGCTTCCTTCCGGTTATGCACAACCAGAAGGCGTCCCACCGTTGCCATAGTTCCACCGCCATAGGACAGAGCATAAGGGCATGCTCTTCACATTCTCTTCCATTCTTCTCCCTTGCAAGTTCGTCGGACAATATTTTCAAACTTAGAAATTGTTTGTCTCTTTTCTCTTGATGTTCTGCCATAAATCCATTTGTTTGTAGGTAAGCATCAATGAGAAATTTGCCATCTTAGGCTCCTGATTCAAGTGAAATTGGATTCGTTAATCTATTTCCAGTTGATTGCTGGTTTTGAAGTAGGTGTAGGAATAAACGCTTGGTGCCATCATTGGTTGACTTTAGACTGAAAGTTGGCTCTTTGTCTTAGTGAACGGTAGCCATGCTTAGTGGTGTAGTTCCACAGTTTTAGCCTATCTCCATTTCCATTAGTCCAACCCCATTCGTTAGGGTTGAGATATAAACCGTCACTTGAGATGTCAGACTATAGGCGTAGAGCGTCAAGCTCCCCGTTTGGATCATCCTTATGTAATGAACCCAGTCTGGCAGATACTCAGATTAGTCGTCAAACATCAGTAGTCTCATTATCTGCATCAAAGTCTCCAAATCGTGAAGTGATATATCAAATACTATCTCATTACCATCAAAAGAAGAGAGTGGAGGGGGAACAGACAAAGGAGAAGATGAAAGATCACACAGTAATAATCCCTTCAGACCCCTCTCCTTCTCCGGGCTTCTTCCCTCTCCACGTCGACAATGATAATAAGTACATTCCTGATCACACACAATAGTGCCACGGGGCACTTGATCTCGTGAAGACCATGAAGACATAGCAGATTCCAATGACGACTTCAAACTCAGGTGAGTACCCGACCTCCTTCATCGACAGATCCCGATCTTCCTCCTCCTCGCAACCAGTCACCTCATGTAGACAGCGTGGACAATGCCATGCCAACAGTCGAGACAGGTGGCATATGCCACAGCAGCATACAATGTAGACCAAAGGTAGCGCCACATCAGCATGCAATGCAGACCAGTGGTAGCACCACGTCATCATCCAATGTAGACCAGAGGTGCGCTACATCAGCATGCAATATAGACCAGTGGTAGCGCCACGCCAGCATGCAATGTAGACCAGAGGTAGCACCACATCAGCATGCAATGTAGACCAGAGGTAGCTCCACGTCAGCATGCAATGTAGCGCCACATCAGCATGCAATGTAGACCAAAGCTAGCGCCACGTCAGCATGCAATGTAGACCAGAGGTAGCGCCACGTCAGCATGCCACCTCAGCAAGCCTGGCGCAGAATGCAGAAAGTGCCAGCATGCTGCCTGTGCCATCGTCCGCAACGCCTGTGCACAGCCAGCGTCGCGCTAGCATATTGCCAGCGTCTAGTCAAAATCGAGCCAGTGTCAACGCAGCATAGCAAGATTGAATGCTTGACTCACTCAAGACCAGCCTTAAGTAGCATTTGACGAGGCTGTCTGGCCTCGGGTGCTTTCCCCACAGTCGTCCAGATTGAATTACAACTGAGGGCCCGGATTGTGCTGTTTGCAAACTTCTTCCTTGGTCCTGATGTTGTCTGGGTACCTGCATACAAACAAGTGTGTGTGCTTGACCAGCGGCCTAGACTAGGTACCTTTGGACTTTGACTGTTGGGGTCTCGACAGTTGATGAAAGTCAACTGTCACACGTCCAGGCGCAGGGTCCTCGTATGGGGTCCTTTCTGCCCCCATTTCGGCCTGGGCTGAGGGCGGCCAAGTTGGCCCTCAGTTTTTCAACGAGACATATGGCATGGGTTATTGCACTTACCCTTCTCATTACTGATTTGTTCAAGTTTTTTTCATGGAATTGTAAGGATATATGCACACCTCCACATGATGAATGGAATATTGGCACAGAGATGTCATCAATGACTAGTAGGATGAGGATATCATCAGAAAAGAACGAATGATCTCAGAGAGAGAGAGAGAGAGAGAGAGAGAGAGAGAGAGAAAGAAAGAAAGAGGGTTGTCCATTGGGAGGGAGGGAGAGACAAGGAGCAATCAAGAGAGAGATGGAGGAGATGTGAGACAGACTGTCGTGCGTACTGCCGCACTTTTTCCAATTAAGCCATTTTTAGTGACTGGAAAGACAACAGGCTGTCCCGCTGGATTTTGTTTAACTTTTGCAATTAAATAAAGAGTGAATAATGCAAATCCCTTCTTGTTGCATGCGTCCGGCTTTGAGTGAGACCCTTCAATTACGGTCTACCCCGGTCCCCGGTCTTAGGAATCTTCAATTATGATTCGGAACAACAAATGTGATTATGCAAATAACAAATCAAAATAAAATGTATAGCACATCATGATTGCCAAATTTACGGCGTTGAGAACCGTGACAAAATCAAGAGAGAGCATAACGTCAAGCAATACCAATGAAAACGAATCAGGACTAACAAACTCAAGGCAAAAACAAGGTGGATGAGGGAAGGTGAGAACTCGTAATAATCTAAAAAAAAATAGATGAAAAGACATAGTCAGCACTTGTCAAGAATTCTCACTCATCCCTCTCTAATCGCATCCTTAATCTCACTCTTTGTTGTTCGTCTTGAGCGCCTTGAGTCAAGGCCAAAGACTCAGAAGTTAAGCATAGCAAAAAACTCCTCCGACAGAGTAGGGAGAACATCCCTCGCCTGAGACGTACCTCTTGGCCAGATCAACCAGAACACCCTAGTAAGAACCATCGATGAGGTGGAAGGGACCAAAGTTCTAGGGTAGTCACCGTATCGGGTGCTCTCTCCTCAACATACCGTGCTGATGTAACCCAAACTGAGTCAAAGTGCTCATGAGTCTCTTTTCGCTTCTTCACATAGATCCTCAGATCCTGGATAGTTCCCTCTGCAAACTCAATAAGGACCACGAAGATTGACAAATCTCCTTGCCTGAAACTAACTTCACTAGCATACTGATGATGGAAAGCATCCTTGGAAGCAATCTTGTTGAGAATGGTCAAGACAGCCTGATGAACGACGTAATAGTACTCATGTGTTGAGAGAGTTATCAGAACTGAACCGACTGATGGTGAACTCCGATGAAGTATGATCGGAGGAATGTTGATGATGATTCCACTGACTGAATAGTGACGGAAGCACTGATTGATTGATATAGATTTGAAGGTTGATTGACCATGACTGAATGACAACCGACTCATATACTGATGATGTCTTTGGCGATTGAAAACTGCTAAGTATCTGGTCACCGATTGCTAACCACTGATAACTGTCTGCCGAGAAGAGTTCTGGATTACTAGGTAATAGTTGCTGAATGATTCACTGGTAGGATCCCTGAAAGAAAGAGTCATAGAGCATTCACGTGAGTTATACCTTGGCCTGCTCAACAGTCTCTAGTGAGGAGTCGGTATTGTGCAACTTGCCATTGCGATCATGGAAGTAGGAAACATATTCAATGTATTTCTTTTCCCCGACTCTCTAAACGCCACGCTATCTCAGGATCAATTTTACGAAACTTCACGTCTTGATCTGCTTTTGGCTCCCATCCCTCATACTAAGCTTTGCCGATCTTGCACCTCATTACTAGGAGCTCCTCTTCCCTCATGTCTCTCTTCTATCCCAAGGTTAAAACTCTAACAAGAGTTAGGAAGAAGAGGGGATGACCATGCATAAGGGAAGAACCAATACTTACTGAAAATTCTTGCCACGTGAATCCTTCACCACGTAGTCAACGTCAGGTTATAAGAGATTATCAATGACCTTGTCTGCTCATCCTTTCCGCCTTGTCTCGATAGAGGGTACAGGGTGTCACAAGAGTGTCCCTACTGTTAATTTATATTTTTAGGATTTTTTAGAAATGGTCTTTGAGTTGATTAAGTAAAAAGATAATGAGGTCACTGCTCGCCTTGTAGTCTTGTGACACGATGCATGATGTTGTTGAAAACCCAAGTTGTTCTCTGCAATTTAATTACTACTGAAACATTCGCAATTCCTTTCTGCAATTCTCCTCAGGTAATGGGCAGCTACTAACTTCTCAGCAAAAGATCCTTTGATAAGGCTCTCAACACACTTTTTGTTATGGGAACCCTTAGCAAACCACTTGCTACTCGCCTTTCCCCAACTGGGACCAAAATTAGATGAAGTTAGTTAGAGTATAGCGCAAAGGTGTTGTTGAACTCTACCTACGTTCTTATAACTCAGGAAAGATACTACTCGAAAATGCTACCAGATACGGGTCCAGTTCTCATTCAACGCAAAGGAGATTTACACAGTCTTTGTTCAAGATGTTGAACTCGTTGCCATTGCTAATGGGCTCCTTTCGAGTACTTACACTAAGTATCACTGACAGTTATCATCACTCAAGCAGTACACAGGGTATAGTTGTTGGCAAGTCTAACCCGAGTAACACAAAACACAACTGGTAGCAAACTATGCTTGAATAGCATGCAAAGCACAACTGACCGCATACGACGCAGAATGTTGCTTATCATAACTCCTGCCCGTATACGACGATGGGTGCCACTCACGTCAATCTTAGTTCAAGTGCCAGATGGGATGTCGTTCACAACAATTCCTATACGAATTATAAGCAGGGTACTACAAATAGCAAGCCCAATTTGTGCACAACGCAAGGTGTTACTGATCACAATTTCAGCTAGCACAAGACTCATGATAATGCTTAACATGGGTCATAAGTGTTTACGACTAAGGACACTTGTGGACAAAGAATTTGTTTATTTACCGCGTAGGGGAAAACATATGTGATTAGTTCATTTTTTGTTTGGAAAACAAAGGATTATTTGGCGCCTTCTCTGTGAGTGTACTGCATGACTTTCACCCACTGATTATCTTTGCCACTGAAGCACCTTTTCAACCACCATAGTTTGGTGAAACGATTATGAAAACCGGCAAAAGCAAGGACAAGCTCTAAATATCTTTAATTTTTGAGGGGTAGTCCCGAAATTTACTCTAGAATAAATAACTTTGTAGCAGATTTCCCCAACGTTGCAAGGACATTCCTAAAATTAATTGCAATACCCAAAGCGGA